TATATATTAAAATAGCTTTTTTAACTATTTAAAGTTGTGTAAATTTACCCATTAAAAATATTTGTTAACTTTCTTTACAAATACGACTTACATAATTAAGTATAAACAGCTTTTCTTTTTTACGCTCGATATAAGAATTTATTTCTAGCATTATTATAATACGAACTTATCTACGTTATAACTATGACTCAGGAAGATAGAATTAGACTATTTACACAGTGTACTGTTTACGAAATTTTATTCTATGTTTTTAAATATATACAATATACTCCTTTAGTTGCACAACTTATTGTTACATTTTCTTATTTTATTAAACCTTAATAGTTGAAACTTAAGTTTGAAAAACTTAAAACATTTTTGTAACGCGATGTATACATATATATATACATTTTAGTCTGGATTCTACTTCTTCCTTTAAAACTATGTTGTTGTGGCCTTGGTTCTTTTTTTCAAGTTATTGTAGATTTTGCGGAAACTATAATAAAGGTAATGGTGATTAATTTTACACTATATACATACTTGTAATGCACATAATTAATTTTTTTTGTTTTGCTAATATTGACAGGGTAATTTACAAAATTTATTAGTGTTTGTAAGTGTTAAAGCTAAAAGGTAATTTTTGGAAAGTTAACTTGTAACTATTACGATCTTAAGCGTTAGCTAGTTAACCTTTACAAAATGAATTAGCACATTTTTTGTATAGAACTTTTTGTTAAGGTTTTAATTTTTTTTTTAATTTGTTGCTATGTTAAGCTCGGCGCCCTGGTGTAATTATTTATCAGAATTGTAGCGTTGTTTAGTTAAATTTGTTAAAGGAAAAAAAGAGTAAAAGTTAAGGAAGTACGAAGTCTAGAATTTATTAGTTCCTTTTTATACTTTTTATTATATTATATATATCTTCAATTTTTTTCTTATGCCTAACCTAATCTGCGTTCTGTTAAAGTTGTTAATAGAAAGATAATTAACTTGTTAGATAACACAAAGTCGCTCTTTTATAATGTTTGCGAAACTGTTTATTGTAAAGAAATTTGTTTGAACTTTTTTTGCTTTAAATTTTAGTTTGCTTCGTAAGTTAATGTGGAAAGCTACAAAGAAAGCACTGTTTTAAATGTTTTCAAGAGATTGTTACAAAAATTGTGTTACTAAACTATAGGGTAAGCCTGCCTTCACGCAAATTAAACTGAGATAAGTTATATATTTATAGAATATATATTACCTTCCGCACTGTTTAATTATAAAAATTTAAATTATCTTACTCTTTTCTTCATGTTGAGATGGTTTTAGAAAGTTTAGGAAACTGTTGAGACTTCAAGGGTTTATTTGAACTTAATTAAAGTTTCCACTACAAGTTTAACAACCTAATTTGAATTGTATTGTTTAATATTATAGAAAGAAATTCTAAAAGTTCCTGTTATTTTAAAAACAAATGCTTATTAACTTGGGTCTGTAAAATATCATAAGCCTGTATAAAACTCACAAGTAGCTGCAGGGAAAAGGAATCGTGTTAAGCTCGATTTTTAATACATTCTGTCTTTGAAAAATATTTAAGCCGTTTTTTGGAGTTCCTGTTTAAAAAGGAGTTAAGTTTGGTATTTTACTAGTACGAAATTCGTTGCGGATTTTTTACAATACTTGCCTATAACCAGTATATAATCTAAATCTTTTTTTTTCTCGCTAAATGTTTTGATGGTATGTATATAACTTAACTTTTTTTTCTACATATATTTTAGGCGCCCTTTAAATTTTTCCAGTGGCTATTTGAAGAATAATTTTGTAAATATTAAAAGATATCACTTTTTTTTTGTACTGGCTACTCCTACTCGTTAATAAAAGTCCTGAACGCTTTACTTGTACCCCCCTTAGCACGCATGCCCCTGAAAATGTATACTGAACTGTGCTTGAAGGACGGAGGGGTAAATGTTGCATAAACCGTCGCCTGTGTTTTACAGATTACTTGTATCTAAGCTGTTGGTTACTTTTGTTGCAACATAGTATAGTTAATAAGTTAATTAGATAACTCATATCGGCTGTAGTATATCAATAATAAGTAAATAAATATTGCAGCCTAAATATCACAGACCAATTTGATTTAAAACAAAAAAGTAGCAGTGAGTTTTTATATCTATGATTATTTGTCTTCCATAGAAGAATTTATAGTAATTATTATAATTTCGGAATTTTACAATGCTTAATAGACTTTTGTGTCACATTATCTATATACATATTTCGCTGTCTCACTGCAGTCGAAATGCACACCACTTTTAGATGCTTTTTTTTTTCATCCTATTTGTTTGAGGCGCATCCCTTGCTACTAAATAAATTGTCTTCTTTGGGGGAGGGTAAATTTTAAGTAAAAAAAAAAGTTTTTAATAAAAGATTTTATTTAGCGTAGAGCCTTAAAGTATTGGGAAGACCTTTTAAAAAGTAATTGAATTAAAAAATTCAAATAATAAAAAATAAGTACTGTCTAAATAGTTATTGTCGTTATTATTACTTAATAAAAGTATATATTTTAATTCAGTGTTTATAGTAAATAGTATTACTAGTTTTATTTTTTAGTTTTTCTTGCACTTTCAATTACTATCCAAGGGCTTTTGTGCATGTTAAGTGATTTATAAGAGCATTGCTTTTGCATCTGAGGGTAGTGAGTTGGGGGCTGGGTTTATGTAACCGTGAAAAATGCTTCAACCGAAGCGCATTTACAATTTTTTTAAAAACATATTTTTGTCTGTTAGTATTTAAGTTGAAAGAGCGGAATGCTGAGGCGCTAATGGTGAATTTGTTTAACGGCTTTAGGCATAAAATTGGTAATGATTCGGTCATTTGCAGTTCCGGGGGAGTGTTTAGATCAACTTATTAGTTGAGCTATTTTTTTTGTTTAGTTTTTATGCTTAAGTGACTTGTGTTTTATAGAAAGGGGTCCCAGAATTTGAAATTTTATTAGCTAAGTAAAAGTTATTAACTTTAAAAAAGTTGTAGTATTTATTTTAGTGTATAAGTAAAAGTTAGTACCAATTTTTATAGATAAATGTTGTCAACCCTTGCTACCAAGCACAGGCAAAGTTACTGAAACTTAACAAATTTATAATTTAGTTAGTTTAGGCTCTCCTAGAATTATTAAGTTTTTAAAGTGTTTTTAAAGGGAAAGGCGCAGTTATCGCCTATTAAAAAGTATATAATAAAAGTAACGCCAGCCATTACATCACTTTAAGTGCAGAAAAGTCATAAAAGTTCATTCGTCTTCCAATTAACATTAATAGCATTTAATTAAAAAATAGGTCACAACAGGGTCATAGTAAGTTTATGGGGACAAAATTATATTCTGAACACAAAGATAGTTTCTTTATACTTTAAACCTAATTATTGTAAGAATCTATTACTAAAACTCATTTATTTGAGGTTAACCGTCTTAAAACAAGTCACCTTTATTGATTTAATATCAAATATTGATTACTGTTTATCTTACCGGCTCACATTTACCAATCCTAGCCTCTATTTTAAACGATTATTATGCCATTACGCCATCTACATTAGTAAAAGCCATGTGGTGTGGGTAGTGTGTGTTAATATTGTTGATATAGCTTCACGCTAAAAAATAGACGCCCACCAGAACAGAACTTTATTTCTAAGGTTTTAACAGTAACCTAATGGATTTTCGTTCGTAACTTATTTTTAAGTTTACCGCATTGCGTAGAGTCATTGGTGGTGCACTACTTGGCGCCCGTTTAAAAACAGTTGCTTAAAAATGTTGAATCTGCTAGTTGGCTAATCGTTCTCCAATAGATGCTTTGTTCATCGAACTCTTAGAGTTGTACCACTACTTTTTACCAGTTTTACAAATAATCAGGGGCCAGAAGACTTAATTATGTTAGTTTGATAAGTCAGTGGTATAAAATTTTCCTCAACTCTGGCTTTGTCCAAGATATTTACATAGTAAAAGTCCCTGATTAACTAGATAAAACCCATAATTTACTTTAGGAAAGTTGAAAATTATTTGCTTGCGTAAGAAGAAAGTGGAAGTTTTACTATGTTTAGGAGGTAATACTAAAACTAGCTTCATAGTTGCGACACGAATATAGCAATTTTTTGGATTTGAAGCTGTTGCAGCTTGTGGATGTGCGGTGTCATCTAACTTAAAACTTGATATTTATGTAATTAAGGTGTTTTTGGAGTCCTACCTAATAACATATGTTTGTAGTTTAACTTTATAACTTTTTTAGTTAAGCCATAATATTGGCAAAAGGGTTTAATAAATTATTAACATATAAATATACTAATCTTTTAGACTTTTACTAAAAGTAATGTTAATTAATACCTTTTTTATATTTTTTGCTTTTTCGCCAGTAAACAATAAAAATTCACTAACTTTTAATAAATTTAGGGATATGTGCCGTAGCAAAATTCTTGAACACGCAAGTACGGAAGTTAAAGGGTCCATAAGGGCATGTTACAAGTAGGTGAATGCCGACCATATGAGGCACAAAACTTATCAATACTTATAAATAAAGGTGTGTGCGCTACGCTCTTTTTTTACAATAGGTTAGGTGGCGGTTAAGTAGTAAAACAGCTTTTCTTTATCTAACTTATTATTCGTTATGTAATGGTTCAAAAACTATTAAATAAATTATAGCAAAACTTTTAAGCATTAATTAACTCTAAATCATATTTCTTTAAAAATGATATACTATATTCCTTTTATTTAATGTATATAATATAGCAGTTCTTGAAGCTTTTACCTATAAGAACAATAATAATAAAAAAGCTGAAATAGTGGACTGAATGTGCTCTACGTTATAATTTGTGACTTTAACTTTTAAGTCACCGTTAACTAATTACTGTCTATTATTAAAACACCAATACGTCAGCTTGTGGTGACATGTAAATTACCGAGAACGATCGCCTCGAAGCAACTATAATTGGACCAAGAAACCAACCAACAACGAGCGGGTTACAAGTAAAACATACACTTATATACAAAAAAAGGGCGCGAAAAAAGTGGGCTATATTTTAGTGTAATGTTGGTAGTAGAAAAGTGCGAACGCCAAGTGAAAAAAAGAAAAGTCCGGCCAAAGAACTTTGAGAAACAGTAAAAGAGAGTCGGCAACCTAAGAGTAGAAGTTTATTTAGTAACCAATAAACCATTACTATGCGCCTAAACAACGGTACAAACTTGCCATAACAGAAAATCACTCAGCCTTCTCTCTCCAGAGGTTCGAATTAATAGTTCAGGCCTCGATGCTGTGGAAAAAAAAAAAATTAGTTCCGGGTTTAACTAAAAAACCCACTCAATAACCCGAGTCCTTCGAGGTAAACGTCATCAAGTGTTTTTCTATTAAAGACTCGTTGATATCCCTTTAAAGGGTCTTAATATTTAATAATGAATTATAATTCCTATTATAACCTACATAAGCGCGATTTTGTTAGTTTTATAGTCTTGAAGGATGCTTTTGGTAGCTTCAGCTATTTCTGCCTGCCCGGTATACGCAAAGCAGATATTCAATATATATCTATAATTTAGAACAATCTTATTTAGTAGATAAGTTAAATAAGTGAAGGGTAATAAAAGAGACTTAGTATGATTCTTAGAAAACTCCATTAAATTATTTATTTCTTCTTTTACGTCTTCAGGTAAGAGATTGAGCTCTCCCAAGACTCGAACTCGAATCTGATGTTTTTCAATTAAATTCCTGAGACCAATAAGGTATATTTTTGTAAAATACAGTTACACAATTTATTGAAGCAGCAAAAAACAAAAAATATTTTAGGTGTACAGTTTGAATACAAAGCCAATAAATTCCAAGCTTAGATAACGTTAGTAGGTTGTAAAGTGACAAAAGAGAATAAAAGAAAGTGACTAGCGGAGAAATGAAAAGAAGAATAAAATAGCTAACTTGTTTGAAGAAAGCTCCTTAAGCTTTTCTTTAGCCAACTTCATGAGATTAATCACTTCTATATTTGTTCTTTTAAAATTTTCTATGCTAAAAGCATAAACAGTAACCGTCTCTATTCCAAGAACTAAACACAATCTAAGAGTCTGCGTATAAAAACAAAAGTAGTGAAGGGTGGTACACCGCAAAATTAAAACTGTAGCAACCTTTAGAAGGGTTTCAAAACCTAAAGAGTGTGCCTGACCAGGTTTAAGATACCGACACCTGCCTGAATACGATCAAGAAAAAATATGTAAACCCGTAAGGATAAGAATGAGAGCAGTTAACATAGTAAGAAGGGGGTATTTTTTTTAAAAAAAGTACTAACCAAACCTCCTATTGCCATCCATTATAAAAGCAATATGCTTAGGGATAGGGCCCGCCTTCAAGATATTAATAATAAAAGTTTGTGCTAACTCAACCAACATTTATATAAAGGAAGCGTAACTTTCTCCTTAGAGTTTCAGAGTCTCAAGGCTCTCAACCACTAGATGGTTTGTTAAGTAAGCAAGGGCGAAAGGGCTTAGAAGGGTTCGAAGGAAGCACACAAGGCAGGCCCCTTCTCTTTCTAATAGAGTGACCCTTTTAAGCACAATTTCCAAGTTCTGGGTTGCGTTTACTAAAAATCGCTTTGAAGTCAGAGCTTTACCTAAATAATGAAATTTTGAATATAAAATTTTAATTATCTGCATAATTATTTATATACACATAAAGATGAAGATCATTAGTAGAAGATAATTAATGACGGCAGCGGTAGGAGCTTATCATATGAGCAAACTAAGCGAGCTCTCAGAAAAACAAAACTTGGTAAATACTTTATCGCATAATATTATCCTAAGAAAAGAAGAATTTAAATAGGGCCACACTCTAATAACCATTAGTTAATGTATAAGTTAAACTCTTTCATTTTAAAGGTCAGAGTATTGAAATTGTTTTGATGTAAATTAATATAGAGAATTATAACTATATCTTGTGCTACAGCTACGACATGGTTTAAGCAGTTTTAAAGAAAAACCTAAAAAGTCTACTAGGTTTACTACCCGGATGCAATAGTTAAGTTGCCCATTCTTCTTCCTGATGTCCTTTCAATAATTGCAATATATCATTTCCTAGTAAAAAATTTTATAGCTACAAAGATAAATTAGTTTTTATAAGAATGGACAGAAGACCACCTAGTTCGGGTAGAGGGCAAAAAGCTAGAAGGAAGGCCTGGCTAGCGGCAATGCTAGCAGATGTGTCTTAATTATAAATCTTGACGATTATCGATCCCCTAGGCCGAAGAGCAGGTGTCCGGAGTCGGTAATCCCCGCTACCCTTTAGTTCTTGCGCCCGAATTAAGTCTAAGCGGTGGCGCTCGACTTATTGAGCATTTGCGAAATTTAAAAGAAAGATGTACAAGAACAACTTTTTTAGACTAAAAATGTGAATACAATACCTTGTCTGAGTATACTGATTACTCCTCAAAATTTTTCGGATCATGTTTATTCTGGAAAAAGAAGAAGTATTACACTTGAGAATACCTCCACTTGTCAAAGTTTGTGTATGATTTGATCGTCTATGCCTGCTCCCGATCGCCTTCCCTAACTTTAAAACACGTGCAAACGTATATGTTTCTGCACTTGCGACGGCAAAGTTTCAGTTAATATACTTAAGAGTAAGCTGTATCCGAATCAAAGAGGAGACATAAAATAAAGCATCTATTATAAAGCCTTGCTGCCAACCAGCCTTCTGGGTGCACGGCAGTCAAGGGTATTTGGTTCGACATGCAACTTCCGTGGCGCAAACACATCAAATACCTCGTCAACAGAGCGAAGTTAAAAACTTTATCTCCTACTATTTAAAAAAAGACTTCTTTGTCATTACTCAATAAACTTAAGCTTTATATGCAAATTATTTGGCCAACTTTGACTTAAGCAGTCAACTAAGCATTAAGCGACTGTAAGCGATTTAAAATCGATTGTTGCGAATAGTAACAGGTGCCCATAGTTTGGCTGGGGTTAAATTTGGAAACGAACCCTGAATATTTGTCGCATTACTGTGGAGAGCTACTTTTTTTACCTTCTTTTATGGTTGACTCTTCCATATATTATTTTTGTGTAGGGGAGATCATGAAATTAAAAAGTAAGTAGAATAAAAAGATACTTTAGAAAAAACAGATACAATAAGATATAACTTTTTAGAAAAATTTAATAATACACCTAAGCTTCTAAGGTAGGTTTAACATTGCATAGTGGCAATGAAGGCCCCAATACAGACTTTGATTAAAATAAACAAAAATTGCTTTTAAAGATGTTTAGGCATCTTGCTCTTTAGGCTGCACAAATTTATGAAATAATACTAGTACAAAGATTTTTAAGCTCTAGCACTTTGAGGAGCAGACGTACTTTTGCAAAAAGTCCGTAATAGTAAGGTTTATTAAGAAAATAATTATTGCTTGATTATTGAAAATGTATATACGGATAGTAGAATAGCGCAAACAGATAGAAGCTTTAAATGCCTTTGCAGTAAGTTAACGTAACGTTATCCTCCCCTTCTTATAACAATTGTTTTGCTCTTACTAAATACAACTAAGACAGTTTTATTAAATCTTGACTTATCCTACGGGTCCTTCTTTACAAGCAGATGTGCTACTTAAAGTATACAGGCATTAAAAGCCTGGAAGTCGCTTTTAATAGTTCTATTAATATTTGTTTTTTTGTACTAATAAATAGTAGAGTAGATGCAACCCACCGGAATAAATTAACTTAATAAACGGCCGTAAACATAATCTCTTAAAATGTCTAAAATGACGGCCAAGTCTGAATTAAAATGTCTACAAATTTGCTCTTGAAAACCCTCTGTGAACACCACTTAATTATTGCTTAATTCTAAATAATTTAATATGAATAGCCTATGAAAGATGTTAAAATTATTTAACGCTCTGCGGTACAGGCGCCTTGAAACCCGGAATCTTAATGGAATCTATTTGTATGTTTAAGATATAATATAATTAAGAAAAATCAATCATTTCCATTTGATAATAATTAACTAATAAGTTATACTTCTTCCCTACGTATACACATATTGCAATTTGTAAGCGAGTGGGCAAGCGTTGGCCTTTTTTTTAAAAAAATTCATTATTCTAATGTGGTAAGGATTTGGAATTATAAAACTGTCAAATAATTATCATTCCTATAGTGCCTTCCACTTACCTATATAATACTTACTCTTTATCTATAATGTATAAGTTATTAAAATTGTTAACCTGTGAAAACAACTCTTAACAGTTCTGAAATTTGTAAACATATTACATATGGGAAAGCAGGTCTTCGCTAAAATGGCCGATCATTTCAGTTGTCTATAATAAGGTGATTAATGCCTTTTGCGTTCTCGTGTACTTCGGAGAGTTATATAGTTGGTTAACCCACAGTTCAAAAGATCTGTCCTTAAAATTAAAGATACCTTAGGCGCTAGCTTTTCATGTTTTAAACTCACTAAAGCCCACACAAAAGTAAGCTGTCCTGCCGTTTGACTGAATTTAACATTAAAATTTTCTAGTGGAAATGGAAGACGTCAATACTTTGAAAATTTAAATGTATTGCTTGAAATCATTGGAGCCGGCATCCGTTTAAAAGAAACGGTAGTTGAATTTAGAAAAATGGCTTTGTTAAGGATTTTTAACAAATACTCTGGTATGTTATATAAAAATTATGATTACATAATGGTTCCTATGAAAATAAAGCATATCCGCGAATACATTATATCTAATTGTTGTGAGAATTTTTGCTAGCGTGATAACTCACAGATTAATGGGTTTTGTCAAGATGCCGGGGTAATACAATGGTTAAGAAATGAAAAAATACTCAAAATTTGAGAATAGCTTACTGATATAATTAGAACTGAAACACAAGACAAAACTAAGGCAAGAATAGCTTAAACAAGCTTTATATGTCGACCATTAGGTCTATATAGCCCAATCCAAATTAGAAAATAACTATGCTTAAAGTAAACGGAGTGGGTTGGACTCTCTTTCGTTCGTCTCGGCAAAGAGTTCACGTATTGTCATGACATCAAGTTCTTACGCCTCTCTTTACCTTATTAAATAATTTTATTATATTAAACTTAATAAATAACTGTTTTTTATAAAGGTGCTCACTTAAATCCCGAATCAAATCTGTTAACTTCCCCATGACGCCCAAAAGTTCACACTCATATGGTACACATACATGCTCATTAAGTAGTCTAATAAACGAGGACGAAGCATTTAAATAGTTAGCCAAAGTAACAAGACCATAACATTTTTCTTTTAAATGATTTTGTGTTCAGTGCGTTAAGGATCCACACCAATTGGTCGTCAATAAAATAACTTTGTATAGTGTTTACTTAGAACAATTCTTATAGTTTAGAAAGATGATTTTCTTTTTTGTATAGTGAATGCTAGCCATATTAAAAGTGAAACCTTCAATTAAGCTCAAAAATGACTAGACAGGTATAATAAAGATATTCTTTAAAGTGCTTTCTTAATGATTATATATTATTTATAATATTTTTAATATTATCTTTGTGCTTTAAAAACTGCTTTATGAAGATCTTAAATTTTTAAAACCATATTTAACTTTAAAAATACACTTTTACTAAAAACAGATTTTTTATTACTATCATAAAATCATGAAAAGTTTGTTTACACACAAGATTAAAATGATCTAAGTTAAAACTATCTAACTAGCTGGTGCATATTAGCAAAATATTTTTAAGCTTTAATTTTTCACCTTAAATGTGTAAATTTAGTGTGGGCCTGTGTAATATAAAATCTTTATAAAAAAAAGTATGTCATAATACCACTTTAAGCTGGACACAATTTTTTTTATTGTACGAAGACAAATTTTCTTTAAAATATGGAAGTTTCTTTATCATTTTGTAAAAAGATTTTAAACAATAAATTCGCGAAATTAATTTTATAGCAAACTATAGTATAAGATATAAGCCAACTTAATCTTTTTCTTATAATTATTGAATCTTTTAAAAGTTCAAATTTCTTTACGCCCTGTTTTTTTGTGATAACCAGCTTTGTTTAATCTTATCTCTTTTATATTATACGTTTTAATTAATAACCTAAAAGAAATTTTGCTCATAATTATAGTGATTCTTTTACAAAAACTCAACTATAAATATTGTGTAACTTTTTTTTTGCGTAACTTCATAGAAGCTTTACTTTTTTTTTCTCCTAGTATTTTCGGGTTATTCCTGTTACTGTATACCTTCTGCGTTAAATACATTTTACTTGTAAATGTTTTATTTTCATCTTTATTTTCTTTCTTTTTAGTCTTTATACAGATATATATTTCCAATGTTTTTAGTACATTTTACAAAACTATTAACCTTCCATTTGTGCACTCTTAAAACTTTTTGTATAATAAAAATATTTTAAGTGCTTGATATTACATATTTT